TTTTTTTTTTCATTTTTTAACTTCAAAAATGCCAATAGCTCTGCCAACAGAAGTTATCACCTCTTCTGTTTCTTATTTCTGATGAAAGCTAATTGCAGAAAAAAAGTCTATTTTGATCTGTGAACAAGCTGGGTTTCAACAACATTAGAGTAGGGTATCATTATCTTTCCAAAAACCTAAAGCCAGAAAAAAAGCTTCTGCTCCTACTGCTGTCTTCTCAAATTGTCTATTTTTGACTGTGAGATCTATTTAAACTGGGAATCTTAGCATTTTGCTTATAGAATATTATAAAATAGAACATATGGTACTTGTGATATAAATATGTGTGTGTGTGTATGTGTATGTATGTGTGTGTGTGTGTATTCACTGATGTTGAATTACTTTGCAGCCCTGCTTGATTTTATTCATATTTAGCTTGCTTATACATTAATCCTTCTAAACTTTAGAACAAGATTCCCCAAGCTGCTTGGGCTAATGAGCACATCAGGCATGATGATTAAAGGCATCACAGGTCACAGGTTTCTATAGCTGTTGTTTTAATCCCATTATGCCCATAGGAGTCACTATTGTGAGAAAGTGGTCATATTTTTATATTTATATTGAAAGCATGTTATGAATGGGCATATTCATAACAAAATGGTTGCCTTGGCAGGTGCTGTCAATTACAAACATTCATTTACCATAAGGCAAGTACACTTCTGGGCTCCAATCTTCCACTGTTTTATTTTCTAAAACTGTTTTGAGGATGTCTGAGGGCACAGAGGCATTTCTGAAATTTTAACTTTTGCTTGATTTTGTTTTATTTTGCATCATGCAAACTTTCTTCCCCCGCCCCTTGGGGGGGGGGAAATGAAAGAAAGTTGACTACCAAGAATATGTCAGGGGACACACGATGGCCCCAAGCACCATGCTGGAGAATCAAAGTCATACTGTATGTTGCACTAACTATATTGCCATTGTTTAGATTATATCTATGTATTCCGTTTGTTTGTATTTGCCTACCACTGTTAAAAGTTTCTTGGTGGGTTACCATCATAAGAATAAAACATCCATGATATAATTATAGTTATACAACAATAAAAATTAAACCATAAAATACAAAATCAAAAAGCAATAACATTACATGAGTTCTTGAGGCTAAGGCAGTTTATAAATTTCATTAGAAAAATTGTTATTTTCATTTCACACTTTATTTATGTTAGATTATTATGTTAGATTATTTCACCCCACTTTTCTGAATATAATTATTGCCATTTTTCCTGATGGCCTAGTATTTCATACAATAATATCAAAACTTTTTAACAGTACTGGAAATAAAACTGTACCCATCTTTTCTCCTGTGTATGAGGAAAAACTCATCATATTCTGGATTACATTCCAATCTAGCATACTATCTTGTGCTGTCAAAACAAATTTTCCAGCAATTCTAATATAGGTTTATTTCTGGTATGACATCTGGAGCAATATATTTCCAGGGGTGAACTCATCATTAAAAATATATAATACCGAAGGACCTTTTCTATTTTTTACTTTTATAATTGGTATTTTTCAGCAGGCAAACCACATTTTTATGCACTAAGGGCAAAGACTGAAAGCTCTAGGCCTGTAGGTAGCCTTTAGTTTGCACCTTACTATTTTAATTTGCACCTTACTACTGGAGTGATAACTTGAGTCCTTAAGGATGTTCTTTTAACTTCTAACTTTAAAATGGCATTTAAATTTCAAGTTTAAATCCTCATTTGCTTAGTATTCTCAATATTAACTCCAAAGAAACATACATTTCTTTACATATTGATTCATCTATGAATTTCAGTCTAATTTTTACTTCTGTGCATTTAGGATTCTAAAAACTACATTTCAATAAACAGCACATTTACAATTAATGTGTCAAACTATTTTATTTATTTGCTATGTTATAATATTCAGCAACATTTATTCCCTAGACTTGGAACAAACCAGAATAATTGTTTGCTTGTTTTTTAAGTGGCCAACATCTCTGTGCAAGGTTAGTCTTATCAAAATAGTTGTGCACTGGAAAAATGAACTTGCTCATAAATGTACAGATATTCTCTATGGTTTCAAAATCTCTGTGGTACAAAACTTATGGACAAAAGAGACTTAGTCTACAATTTGGAAAAAATGTACTTTCTTTGTGATTGGTTTCAGACAAAAATCTCTCCTAACTCTTCCTTGAGATATCATAAAATGGAAAATTCTTAAAGTGAACATAAAGATTAAACCAGAAAGTTTCCTTCTGGGTCTAATGGAAAGAGAACTGGAAAAAATTTTGGAACTCTGGTTTTATATATGGTGATGGCAGCAAGATTGCTCTTTGCACAAAAGTGGAAGGATGCCTTGATTCCTACCATGGACGAATGGTTACAAAAGCTGATGGAATTAGCAGAGATGGCCAAATTGACTGTGCTGATAAAAGAAAAGAACATAAGTGCTTTTGTTTCTACTTGGAAATTGCTTCTGGACTTTGTGCCTGAGGTGGAAAAAAAATGATATTATGATTTTGGGTTTTAGATTAGACTACCAATTAGATTTGCCAATACAGAAATGGCTAGAGCATACTACTATAGAAATGTAAAAAAGTTGAGATTTGATTTTAATGTCTGATTTTACTGAAACGGAGAGAGTCGGAAGTCAATGTCTTTTGTTTCTTCCCTTCCCTTTCTTCACACCTTTTTTGTTTTTCTTTTCTCTACGGTTGTCCCATTCTATTGGCTTCTGTATTTTCAAATGAGATGTCATAGAATAAACATGGACCTTTGGTTGAAAAGCATACAGACTGGCCAATGGCTATTCCCTTAAGGTAGAACTCCAGTCAAGTAGTATGATATGCCTGAAAGTCTGGATTGACATGGAGTATGGGGGATCTTCTTGACAAAAACTGACTGCAAAAAGCACATTGCCCAGCAAAATTTCGATGGGCATTTGATGTAGCAAAAACATTTAATCAGTAGATGACTATTTGCAAAGGCGTGAACATCTGATGAGATGAGACAAATTGATATGACAACAGCAGGAACATTAAAGGAAGATAAAACATTAATAGAATTGCAATTGCCTCCATTCTAAATATGGCTGTAGTTACATGACATTTTGATGAACTGTTAAATATTCACCAATTAATATTCAAACATCTTGCTACCAAACTACAGTGGTTTTCTGACATGTACGCAGTATTCAGCATATGGAGTGATTTGCATTTTCAGTATACTGGTTTTACAGAAAATAGTCAAAAAGTTGGGGTAGGATATCTGAGTTCCCTGAAGATCACTGGCTCCCATACAACAGGCCATGGTATCTTGTGAGGCTATGTAGTTAGTGCAGGAAATGCACAATCATTGCTCAGAATAAGATGTTAAGGAAATAAATGTATGACTGAATTAGAAGAGAGATTTAAAGCAACATAACCAGACTATACTCCTTTAAATTGTGCATGTGTACACTGACACACAACTGATGACCCGTAGCACAGATGTAGTGCCAATGCAAAGAAGGCCACCAGCCACCAGGAAAAATATATGAGGTGGCCACTCGGTCATTAGCCCACGTAAACCCAAGTGTGATTAATAAGCCACTGTACCCTACTCAGCCTGGCTCTGCTATTTGAGCAGCTGCTGCTGGCTCATTACCAGCCTGGCTGATGGGCTACAAAGTTGTCAGTGTTTTTGCCTTCTTCTCAATGTAGCAGGGTAATCATTATAAGGAACTAAGAATTCAATCCTGGAGTCCTGAGACAAACAATTCCTTTGTTTCCTCTTCCTTCGCCTGAATTGGCTTCAATTTATTAATTCTTTATTCCCAGATCTGACTTCCAAAGAATAAGCAGCTTAATAGAACTTTCATGTGACAATCCAAAAAACCAATATTCACAGAAAAACTCTTGGCTGATTTTTGGCTACATTTTTGTTTGTACTGTCTGTCTGCTAAAGGTGTAGACTACCTGAGGCCTTTCTCCCTAAAACTCATGTATGTAAAAGCAGTTTTCTATGTTTGTGGCACTGGAATTCTAATACAAAAACAGGCTGAGTATGGAACCATCTATCTCATGACTTGCTAGGCTGTTTTATTATAGCCAGATGTTCTTGGGAGGTGTGAGCAAAGAACGTGAGAAGTGTAGACCTAGAGTACATAATCCAAGGCATCAATCAAGTCATGAAGATTATTTTTAAGTGCACAATTAAAACAATATAGGGACCTATATTAGGCAACAATGATATAGGAAGAATCCAGAGCGTCTGATCATTTTAGTTACAATAGCAAAGGCATTATGTCATGCTATGGCAGGAGAAAGCAACGATGAAATAGTCCTTTACTGAAGAAACCACATGGATAGCAATATAAAGTGACTGATAGTGTTTAGTACTCAACATTTGACTAAAGATGAGCTAAGGATTTTGGGGAACAGTTTTGATATTTACGATGTGGTTATATTGAAGTCTTTGGCAAGCCTAATTATTTGTTCTACCATACATGAAAAGAAAATCCAAAGCTGCAAAGAAAGAATTATAGTGAAGATTTGGAATATAAGAATTAGAAATGTGGGGAAATCCAAACAGTGAAAGACTACACGAATTGACTACTGCACATACTAACATCTTAAGCATCACTGGATTGAAATGGACTTGATTGAATTTGACTGGACACTTTCAGTGAAAAGATCATATTATTTACTACTCAAGATACAAAAACAAGTGACATTACTTTCATAGTAAGGAAGGATACAACAAGGATAGTACTTGGGTACAATGCAATCAACAGCTAAATAATACCAATTAAGCTTAATTGGCAATTAATTAATATCAATTTGATCAAAATCAATGCTTTTATATATTAGAGTTGTCTAGGATATTATTCTAGGAATATTTTCTAGGAAATTATTCTAGGAATAATTTAAAAATTATTTCAAAAATGTATCTTGTTCTAGATTGCCCATTTTTAGTTTAAAAATGTATCCATAATCTAGCAGTCAAATAATATGTACTTACTGGGACATTCACTTTTCTGAACATCTCAGCTCCTTTATGTGCATCCAATAAAGCTATATCCTGTGGAGTGGACACAATTACAGCCCCTAGAAAGAAAGAAACCCCAGGAAAAATCAATATTGTTTTGTTTCATTCGGGTACTTTAATTCCTAGAAGAACCTTTAATAGGCTCAGAAAATAGACTTCTAATTAAAGATTAATGGTGGTTATACTTTACAAAAAAAGTGTATCATTTCACATGTATCAGAGTAGCCAATTATTTCCCTGGTTCCCACAACTCTTAATGCCATTTGCTGCAAAAATTCACTCAACTCCAAAAGCAAACTTTGTGGAAGGGGACGTTGCTTTTTTTTTTTTTTTTAATTTACCCAATAAAAAAGAAGAAAGATTTTTTTTAAAAAACAGAAATTTTAACAGATTTTTAGTTATTATTGTTTTCAATAAGAAACAATATTTCAGAAATGGCTATAATGTATTTATGTTGTTGAAACACAATGGAAGTGCTATTCTATTTAAATATATTACCTCATTTTGAAAGTGACCATGATACAAACTATCTCAATCATATGGGAGTTGACTTTTGGACATGGAAAATGAATATAAAATCAAAAGATTGTTCAGCAGTGGAAACAGAAACATATGGCTCCAACTATTTGGTGGTTTGCAGAAGTGATTCACATAGATTCATATAGATGAATTTTAATATTTCTATATGTATGTGTTTGCAAATATACTTTTTGTGTATTTTTTTCTTTTTTCTTTTTGTTTCTTGTTTTTTGTATTTAGTCAGTTAAAAATACTTTTTTACAAAATGTAGGAACTTTCATTATTTTACAGCAAAACATTTTATCCTGCCCAAACTTTATTTCTCCAGTGATTCTCAACATTTTAGGAGGGGAGGAGCAAATATAGAACAATCTCACTGAGGAACAAGAATCAACCTCTTCTTCCTAAAACATTGGAAGATATATGAATATGAAAGCATTTTGCTCTTTAAAATTAGCAGCTATGACTTGAGATATTGTTCTATATAGAAATGTAACCCAAAACATTTTTTCAGTTTTATAATATTGATTTAATGAACAAGAGGTAGCTTCAGCTATACTTGTTTTAATATGAAACAAAATTTGCTTTCATTTTACAAACCTCTGAAAGTCTTTATAAGTTGCGGTATACAATACTATTAAAGAAATTTTCTCTACAATCTTAATAAACAAAAATTCATTCCTCTTTTTCTAATATTTTCTAATAAAATATTTTTAGAAGGAATAGTAAAGGTGCTACTACACTCGTATCCTCTTTGCAAGTTTCCCATAGACATATCTATAATTTAGATATAAATTCACTTGACAACTCCCCCCATGCCAAGTACAGGCAATTCTTGAGTTATGACAGTTCACTTAGCGACCGTTCAAAGTTATGACCTAACCCCACCCAAGTACTTACGACACAGTTACGAATGTTGTAACATCATGGTAGTCATTCACCCTTATGAATGCCCACAGAGGCACAGCAACATTCTCTCTGCCTATTTCCCACCCTCCCCCCAGATCTCCAAAGGCATTGGCCTATGGATATTCACCTTGCAAAGATCTAGCAAGTCTTTGGTTTCTTGGCCTGGTTCAGTGCTTCAGGCCTTCAGTGCGTTTCCTCAAGGCCTTTGCCGATGAGAATGGAGCACCCCTCCCAGCCTCCGTTCTCGGTGACAAAGGCCTTGAGGAAAGACCTTTGCCACCCTAAACAGAGGCCCAGAGGGACACATGCACCTTTCCCGGTCTCCGTTCTTGGCAGCAAAGATTTTTTGCAAAGATGATTGGAGCCTATAGGGATGCAATCTCTCATCCCTGTGGGCCTCAGCAAGCCTTTGCTCAAGGCAAAACTGCAGCAAAGAGGCTGGAGAGGAGACAGCTCTCTTGATCATCGAGATCTACATAAGGAAAGTGATCTGGTTGGGCAGGAAAGGGGGAGGGAAGCATGAGATATCTCAGTGGATCAGGGGAGGCCTTGGGTGGTCGGAAGCACTACACCCTCCATGGCCTTCTCCATCCTGAGTTACCTTCGTGCACTTAATGATCTGTGCATTCAATTAGCAAATGTGTGGACGAAAGAAGGAAGTGATCACATTCAAGTTACGTGATTCACTCCTACGACTCCTCAGCTTACAAATTTCATTGGCAGGCTCCATTACATTCGTAACTTGAGGATTACCTATAGTGCATTTACAAAATCTATGTATTAGGAATACATTTGGGATGCTACTATATGAATGGAAGAAGGAGTGATAGCTGGAAGGTCATGACTTAAGATTTGGATGATATGGTTATTTGCTGTATGATAAAGTCAAGGTGAATGTAGATTTTAAAAATCATTATGTTACATGTGCCCTATTGAGAATTTGGAATAGATATAAGGCAAAATTGTCTCCTACAATCCCTTTATGTTGTCACAAGAAACCTGTTTTAGAAGGGAAATGATATCTAAACAAAAATATTTAACCTATGCTGACTTGTTAAATTTTTCTCAAGGAGAATTTAACTTAAAAAACAGAGAAAATGTGGAATTAGAAGATTTTACATGCCATTGGTTTCCCTATGCTCATTAATGGAAAGAATTAAGCTGGATAAAGAGTTCTGAATCTGAAAAGGATAACACTGATTTTGATGTGGAGGTCTGTATAAATGATGATCATATTATTGCTAAGATGTATAAACTCTATTGAAATTGGAAACAGGACAAACATGTTAAAATTATATGATAAAATGAGCAATAAACTTTGGATATAATATATAGTTGAACCAATGGGAGAGTATGTAGAAGAAAGGGTTGGAAAAACGGTATATCATTGATATATGGCAACAGATAAACTGTCAAAAATGTATAAGGCAATTTCAATGATTTGTTGGAAATATAATCAAACTGAGAGAACATATGTTCATCTTTGGTTAACATGCAAGAAGCTAAAAAATACTGGGATCAAGTACAGTATGTGTTTTGGTGCAGAAGGTTTTAAAGGTGGAATGTACAATTGAAATCCAAGGGTTTTCTTTGGGGCTTAATGAACAAATAAATGGAAACATTTTTTTATATTTGATAGCAAGAGCGAGACTTATGTATGCTAAAAGGCGGAAGGAATTACAAAAAACTACAATGGAAGAATGGATAGGGAAGTTGGTGGAAGTTGGCGGAGATGGAGAAATTAGCAACCTTGACGAAAGAAAAGATTTGGCAAATTTTATTTCTACTTAGAAACCATTATTGGATTTTTGTGAGAAACTGAAAGAAATAAAAAGCTGGTTTGGAGATTTGATTAGTATTATATGATATAATTGAAATAATGTAGACAAATGTTAGAATAAGAGTGTGATGTATTCTTATATCTATGTTTATACCAAAGAAAGTCAGAAATCATTCTTTTCCTATTTTCTTTACTTTTTCTTTTTTTTCTTTTCTACACTTTTATTTCTTTCCAAGCTGTTTTCTTTTTCTAATTTTCTATTTCTATTTGTTTACCTTTAACTTTGTTTCTTTTTTAAAAAAAACTAATAACATTATTAATAAAAGAGCAAGAATAGATTCATCTGCCCCAAAGACATTATTTGATTGCAATGGTTTTTATTCATAGATTATGGTGAGCAAATGCTGAAAGGGGAGCAACCTCACAGATTCCAAACAAAACCTTTCTCTCTGGCCATATAGTTCAAATGCACCCAGTTGCACTGCTTAAACTACTTTGCAAAACTACCAAAGATACCTGCAATTGGAATATTCTGTGAGATTGACAGCTGAATATCTCCTGTCCCTGGTGGCATGTCAATTACCAAGTAATCCAGTTGGTGCCAGTCAACCTAGAAAAGGTATAAATAAATTAGGGGAGGAAATTCACCTTAAACATCAAGGTCAAACTCCCTGTAGTTTTTAACACCTTTGGAGATAACTTACAGATAAATTCTATTGCTTGGAATCAACATCACAAATTATTATTATTAAAAAGATCCAAACAGAAATGAGTAATACTGCTGGAAAAAGAAAGAGAAAGGGACTTGCAGTTAGATGCCAATTAAACTGATCAGTGATAAAATTGAATCGATCACCAGAGTGCAACAAACCCACATAGGAAGGAAACCTATAAGGAAACCTTCCTTGTAGTCTTACTGCTTCTGTTAAAGTAGCTGATTGCCTCTGTTCCTTACAATTCCAGTGGGTCATTTTGATTTATACTTTTTCTTTAGTGTTCTTCATTTGCATCATGAAAGTAGGACAGCTTAAGATTTTTTCTGTGAAATAATCAGTTAACATGTTTCTATTTATTTATTCACTTCATAGCTGTCATCTCAGACAAGTGGCTCTGGGCAATGTTATGGATGATCATTCACAACTTCTTGATATTAATCAATATTCAAGTCAGATTTTCAAATTATGTGTTCAAAAATAGAAAGACTTAATAGCACTCAGTTTCACCAAAGTTAAAATAAGCTTCATATGCTGGCTTGGACGATGCAGGTAACAAATTACAGACTGATGTATCTTTGCCTGATATTGCTAACAGAAAAGATTAGACCAGTTCGTGTATTGCTTGGTCCCTGGTGAGACATTCTCAAAAAAATCTGAATTACTATGATGCATATATGCATTGTCTCTAGTAAAATTACAATGTCTTATTTAGGATATATGTAATAATCTAATGAAATGCCAATTTAGAAAACAAGCCATGAACTATCATAATCCTTAATATCTTAAATCACAGGAAACAACTATCTTGTGATTCTAGAGCACCATAAAACTTGAATATCAGGACTACCAAGAAACGTAGTGACTCACCAACTGTTTGTACCATCACAAGACTATTGTTAAATAAACTGTTGCAGTGGCATTTCAAACCACTTACGTATGGAATTATGTATTTGGGATTCTTAAATTTCAGGAAAGAGTTGCTGATATTGCTCAGACCAAAAGTAGCAATATTAGCAGTTGAGCGTGTTCTACCTTCCATCACAAATTTATTTAAATAAATAATTAAATAAAATAATTAAAGGAAGAAAGGATAATACAGATCGGTATAGCAGAACTACAAATAATTTTAGAAAGAAACTCAAAGAGAAATCTTCCTAATTCACAGGAATATAAAAAAGGGAAGGTGGTACAGCACAATCAGACTTGCAAAGTTTTGTTACCGGTATTATAACCAATCTCAATAAAAATAGTTTTAGCCTTCCTGTGGAGTTGATTTCTTGGTCCAGCCCACCTCTTGGGGGCTGATGTGAAATGCCTGAACTGAACTCTGCAACTTTCGAGGAACAGGATGACTTGTGAGGTATCCCCATTGCTTTCCCTAAGTCTCATATTAAAATGAAATGTTACCTTCAAGTTGAAGAAAACGTAAATGAATAAAATCTTTAGATTAGATAATTTCATGAAAAAGATTCAGTATATGTAAGACATATTCATAAATAACATTCTACAAAACATGAAATGAATAGTCCTTATCCTCCTAACCTTTTCAGTAGTATGCCCATATACATACGTTCATGTTGTTAAAATATTGACGGCCACAAGAATAAATTCTCTCAAGTTAAGAAAACACTAAAAACCGTCACAGGAATTACTCTTTGCAAATGAACAAATGAGTATGGTTACAAATTTACACCTGTAGTATCCACCATCTGCCATCAACATGCATATGTGGAAAACACTAAAATATTTGCTTCTTTAACATATAGTGTTGTGAAACATTTCAGATACTGGGAATGTGATTACATTTTACTTAAGTATAGCATTCGTCTTTTCTTCTTTAGGAATAATTTTTCTGACTTTTATTGTTGGAGAAACATCATTAGTTGCCAGGTGGCTTTATATATTTTTCCTCTATTCAAGCACATCACTAAAGTTTTTCTGTAAATTGTTCTAATCAATCAGTAAATATATGTGACAAATGTAGTTATTCATATAATGTCAATTCCAGGCCCAAACTCTGAATGATGATATTTCAGAGAAGCAATATTAGGCAATTTTGATGACATCAGTGTTTAGAATCACTGTATAAGAATATAGCCTGCACTGTATCATTTAAAGAATAAAGAAACCCCTGCATACTGTTTTGATAATAATGTATTTTAAAATAGGATTTTTTTTCTTCAGTTAACTAACATATTCCTAGAGCATTCCAATTAAATATGGATGCCAAATCACTCTGAACACTATGTTAGGCCAGAAATAGTTCTAGAAATTGATACAAGTCTGTGATTTCTCTGCTAATTTCCTCTTCAGTTCAGTCACGAAGGATTAAAACCATAAGCTTCTTCTTCATAATAAATATGTTTAATGAATTGATCGTTCGATACATTTATTCTTTTCACCATCAGTGTATATCCTAATAAACTGTGGTACTTTTCATTTATACTCTCTGTAATCATTACTAATAAAAATGTTTCTGGTTTCAATTCATTTTCAAAATTCTCTAAATGTTTTGATGTTTTTTTGCAATACTTCTGAATTCTTTTGCATAACCATCACATATGATGGAACTTTATTGTAGTACTTTTAGTATTTATTTGATAAATAATAAGAAGAAAATAAATAATTTATCAGTCTTGGCAATTGTCAATAGTATTATCATCTGTGAAACATTTTATACTAGCTTTCCCTTAAAGTGTAATTTGGAGTAAATTTTATTATTTTTTTCTTACAACTCTTTTATTGATCCACTCTGATTACTTTCAAATTCTGCATCCATTTTATTGTGCAATGTTTGATTTGTTCTGTCTCTGTACTGTATTTTAGTAATAGCTTATAAATATAAGATTCTTAGTGCTAAATAATGATTTTTATCTAATTTGAAATATTGTAAAAGGAAACTAAACATTGTACAAATTGCAACAGAAATATATCAGTGCATAACAATTTTGTGCATTATATCTGTTACAAACACTTTGCAAAATCAAAAGTGTAGCTCAAACTTTAACACTTACTTAAAACTGAGATCCAATTAAAATGCGTTGTCTATGACAAAGATTTACATAGTCCTGCTATGCCAACATCTTGGGAACAAAAGAGCAGCATCTAATTCATTGCTACACATTTGTCTGCTGTTTCAAATGTATTGGGAAGAGTACAATTAAATTATATCTCTGTTGTCTTGAGAAAATCTATATTATCTAATTTGGTTGCCGTATTTGATAATGTGATACTCGATTATAAGAAAGGATTATATTTCAAAATTTTTAGTAAAGAACCCATTGCACATTGAAGTCTTATTTTATGTGGGAAACTATAAACTGCTTTTACTGTTGGTTGCAATAAAATGCATTAAATACATATTATATCTGACTGACTTAATTTTTTTTTACATCTTTGTTTTTCAAATGCATGTCTCAATCTCTTGAACCCCTTTAAACTCAATGTATTACATCGTGAACCAAGATTAAGGAAGCAATTGAAGATGGTTAGGAAAAGAAGAGTAGGAGCTATTCTTCCAGATCAAATAGACCAACAGGAAGTTAACATCTACAAAAATGTTTAATATAAAACTACTAATGAAAATAGCTCTAATCCTAATCTAATTGGTGACAAAAAGTGGGGAGAGATTTAGGATCATTACACTGAAACAAAATGATTTATTGAAACTAATGCATAGGATACCTGAATAGTCATTATACAACACTGTACTCTGATCAGAAAATTAATAAACAAACCATTGGTAACAAGCTACTGCTACAAACAGTAATATGTATAAATCTTTAAATGCAGTGTAGTAAATAATAGCAATTGTCTGATAATAAAACCAATTGCTATGACAGATTTTATTTTCTTTCCTGGATCTTCAGGCAAGCTGAAAAAGGTACCCAGATTATCCTGAGATAGTATTAAAAAGTCCTAGTTTATACACAAAACAGGAAAAAAAGCCTGATTAGAGGGAAAGTCCTTATTAAAACTTTCTGCAATCACTATGGGAAAATCATTAATGGCTATTATGTCAAGGGACTATATTTCTTTTTGTTCCTAGATGTGTAGAGTAAAACTATTTCTTTAGTTGCTAGGTAACAACAGACTCAGTATATATCATTATCAAAATGCATAAGAAGAAATTGCCATCTGCTTCCCAATTGGGAATTCCATTGACTAAAGTAATATTGCAGTTTCTGAAACATCATCCCACATCTCTTCCCATAATCAATTAATCTTTGGTCTCCTTAGAAAATAAGCACTAACGTTAGCACCCAAATCTATGTTTTGATTCTAACTTCAGAATAATGCCATATGTAATCAGGTCCACTCCAACCCTGGCAAGTTATTAAAAATATAATTGGAATCAAATGTTCTATTTTCACTGCTTGAATTTCTTCCATTAATGAAAGCTTTTTCCAATTTGGTGCCCTCCAGAATTACTCAACCAGCATAACTATTTCAAGGGTTAGGATTATTGGGGAATTGACATCTATATAGGTAGGCAGTGATTAGTGAGAGTTTGCATAGTGCAATATTTGATTTAGTGTGATTTATAAATTGAGACCAGGTTCTGTTTAATGTGAGCCAAGATTCAATTACTGCAAAGCTACCATACATGTATTGAGGCTAGCACATGTATTGAGGCTAACACATGTGCACAGTTGTTCTTTTGGTTTTAGACACTAATTATCATTTGTGCAAAATAGAGAAGAAGATTCTATTCGAGGAAAGCTCAAAAAAGTTTATTTTGAAGAACTACAGCAGAATGCAGGAGATAGCAAGTATGCTTTGTTTATGGGTTTATCTTCTTTTGCTGTTATACAGCACTTCATTAATAGATGTAAAAAATTATGTTTAAAAATTTTAATTGCCTAATTTTGTCAAGTTGGAACCCTATTTTCCACTGAAATATCACTTTGAATAATGTGAATTTGAATAATGCAACCATTTTGTAGGATTCATTAACCACACTAATTGGGACCTACTTATACATCCAGAGGGCACTCTGGCTGTAGAAGGGCATGTTAATGGAATCAGGAAAATGGAAGTTCTCCATTTTCCTGCAGCTCCTTTCATAACCTCTTAATTTTCTTTGGAGGTTCTGCAACAGAATGGGAGGGCTCTGAAGAGGAGTCAAAGGTGAGAAACAGAAAAACTCGCCAATGCTTATGTAATATTGGATTCTGTTCTGTGTGCCATTACTAGGAAATGTTTTTTTCCACTATGGCCACAAGTAATTGCCACAAAAGATTACTTTTAGCAATATACTGGAAGATCTTATGCTTAAGATTTTTGAATAAATTAAAGCTGACAGCATTTCAACAGATGAAGATAGTAGCCATTAATGCCTTCTTAAATGAACAGTGCAAAGAAATAGAAGAAAACAACAGAATAGGGAGGACCAGAGATCTCTTCAAGAAAATTGGAGATATGAAGGGAACGTTTCATGCAAAGATGGGCATGATAAAGGAACAAAATGGCAGAGACCTAACAGAGGCAGAAAAGATTAAGAAGAGATGGCAAAACTACACAGAAGAACTATACAAGAATGAGCTTAACATCCCAGATAACCACAATGAGATGGTCATTGACCTCGAACCAGACATCCTAGAATGTGAAGTGAAATGGGCCTTAGAAAATCTGAGCAACCACAAAGCTAGTGGAGGTGACAGTATTCCAGCTGAGCTATTCAAAATCTTAAAAGACGATGCAGTAAAAGTGCTACACTCAATTTGCCAGCAAATTTGGAAAACTCAGCAGTGGCCACAGGATTGGAAAAGGTCAGTTTACATTCCAATTCCAAAGAAAGGCAATGCCAAAAAATGTTCAAACTATCGCACCATTGCACACATTTCACATGCTAGTAAAGTTATGCTTAAAATCCTACAAGCTAGACTCCAGCAGTATGTGGATCGAGAACTACTAGAAGTACAGGCAGGATTTCGAAGAGGCAGAGGAACTAGAGATCAAATTGCCAACATACGCTGGATCATGGAGAAAGCTAAGGAGTTCCAGAGAAACATCTACTTCTGCTTCATTGACTATGCTAAAGCCTTTGATTGTGTGGATCACAACAAATTGTGGCAAGTTCTTAAAGAGATGGGAAAACCAGACCATCTTATTTGTCTCTTGAGAAACCTACATGCGGGTCAAGAAGCAACAGTGAGAACTGGACACGGAAACACTGATTGGTTCAAAATTGGAAAAGGAGTCCGGGAAGGCTGTATACTGTCGCCCTGCCTATTTAACTTATATGCAGAGCACATCATGAGAAAGGCAGGGCTAGATGAAACAAAAATTGGAATTAAGATTGCCGGGAGAAATATCAACAACCTAAGATATGCAGATGATAGCACTCTAATGGCAGAAAGTGAAGAGGAACTAAAGAGCCTCTTGATGCGGGTGAAGAAGGAGAGTGCAAAAGTTGGCTTGAAACTCAACATTAAGAAAACCAAAATCATGGCATCCGGCCCTCTCAATTCCTGGCCAATAGATGGGGAAGAAATGGAGGTAGTGACAGATTTTATTTTTCTGAGCTCCAAGATCACCTCAGATGGGGACTGCAGCCAAGAAATTAAAAGACGCTTGCTCCTGGGGAGGAAAGCTATGGCAAATCTAGACAGCATACTAAAAAGCAGAGACATCACCCTGCCAACAAAGTGCGTATAGTCCAGGCCATGGTTTTCCCAGTTGCAATGTATGGCTGTGAAAGCTGGACCATAAGAAAGGCTGAGCGCCAAAGAATGGAGGCCTTTGAACTCTGGTGCTGGAGAAGACTCCTGCGAGTCCCCTGGACTGCAAGGCGATCCAACCGGTCAGTCCTAGAGGAGATCAACCCTGACTGCTCTTTAGAAGGCCAGATCCTGAAGTTGAAACTCAAATCCTTTGGCCACCTAATGAGAAGGAAGGACTCACTGGAGAAGGGCCTAATGCTGGGAAAGATTGAGGGCAATAGAAGAATGGGACGACAGAGAATGAGATGGCTGGATGGAGTCACTGAAGCAGTAGGTGTGAACTTAAATGGACTCCAGAAGATGGTAGAGGACAGGAAGACCTGGAGGAACATTGTCCATGGGGTCGCGATGGATCGGACACGACTTCGCAATTAACAACAACAACAACAACAATGTCTTCCACTTTCTTCCATAATGGCTAGTAATGTTAAATATTATATGTTTTATCATCAGATGTTGAGTTTTATTACTGTATTTCACTTATAGGATGAAAAAGCCTAAATTCTATGATGTCACATACAGTTTCTTTATTAAGGATGGACACATTCAAAATAAGGTATCTGAAAGGTCAAACTTTTCATCTGCAGTTCAGAAAAATATCAGACATCTATTACAAGGCAGGAAGAAAAATTATATAGATATGGTTGCTGTGGAATCAATAAAAGTGTCATGATGAGGAAGGCTGGCTTATAATGACTGCCAGAAACTTTCTGGAATTTCAAGCAGAAGTATTTCCTAGAGCACTGATGGCGAACCTTTTAGAAACCGAGTGCCCAAAAACTGCCCCCACTCCCACCCCGCTCGTGCCCCCCACCCTGCCCACCCACAGGGTCACCCACTGCCTCCACAGTCCACCACAGATCACCTAGGTAGCCCAGCAGCGCCATGGCGGCCACACCCTTTGCCCACACCCCGCAGCATCATCTGCTCGTGATGGGGTGCGAGGGGGGAATCTTGTCCCCACTGCCTGGCTGCCATGTCCTTGGCTGCGCTGCTTCACATGGGCCACGCCCGGTGGTGATTCTCCTCTGGGGGGTTACTGGTGAGGAGCGGGCTGCGTGGGGAGGAGGGGCTGGGGCAACGGTGCGTATGCCCACAGAGGTTCTGAGTGCCACCTCTGGCACGTGTGCCATAGGTTCGCCACCACTGTCCTACAGCTATCAAGAGATCTCAGAGATTTAAAAAAAAAACCTTCTGCAGTTAAAACATACTTTCCTTGCATTTCCTTATAGCTATGGAATTTCTGTGTTATAGATTAATATCAAAGTGTTAACCAACAAGCTGCTATATTCACTCCAGCTGAAGCCAAGATCTGCAGAAAGTTTGAGGACAGTTTAATTAAGTTTAATTTTAAATATTGAATGATATATTTGTTAACAAAGAAAAATGTTTTGCTATTATGTTTTCAAAACTTCCATACTGTATTAAAATATTGATACTGCATTTGATATAAGCATTGTTAGAAGCTGTTTTATTGTAGAGTTATAATCACCAATGAAGTTAACTTAAAACAACTTTTTACCTGTCTCAGTAATTTCTCTATAGCTGACATTACCATGAGTCCTCTCCAGACAATTGGTGCAGTCTCTTCCACCAAGAAACCCATAGACATACTAGAATTAAAGGCATTTTTCCAACATTCAGACATGATACAAACAACAAAATATAAAAAGTACATAGATACAAAGATAAAGGGCTTACCATGAAATTCCATAGTTCACAAGAGGTCTCATTAGGTTTTCTAGAACAGAAATTATTTTTAAGAATAATTTTTTGGAAAAAGTATTGAACTCCTCTCAATGTAAATAGTTTTAAACCAGAGGCTCATTGTACAGATCACATCTAATCTAAAAAAACCGATATGTGGAGCTTGATTTCTGGTGGATATGATAACAAGATTTTAAATATTTTAATCTATGTACATATCTATTGAAGACTGATTTGCCAAATGACAAGCTTACAGGATTTCCTTCGTGTTTTTGGATTTGTCTAGGTCTGTAGAGATCAAGCACTATCCAAAAACGCTAAGAAATTCCTAGAAGCTTGTTATTCAGCAAATCACTCATCAATAGATACATACAGATTAACCATATTTAAGCTAAACATATATTTGTAAGTCTTTACTGTTGTTTTTCATTAATAAACATATAAAAGTTATATTTAAATATTTTAATTGCCTATTTCCATCGAGCTTGAACCAAGTTCCTAATTTTCCATAGAAACACTACTTGAATAATGCAAATTAGAATTATGCAATCACGCACTAATGGAAACCTCCCTATACAGGTTGTTATCTCCTATGACTATCATTTTGTATATATGAAAGTTATCAATCAAAATTCCAGAAGATGCATTTTAATGGAATTTAATAAATGTGTGGGTATTGCCTTTAGCATCTGCAACCTTTCCTAACAGGTATTGTCAAACATCTAATAGATGTTTTAGGAAATATTTAGGGATATTAGTATAATTTAAGATGACAATAATCCTTTTGCATTTCCATAGGGACAATGGCAAGTCTAGAAAAGTTTATAGCTTTTCATTTAAGGTTATTATGTATAGAGAGATAATTGGTAACTACAGCATAAAAGAAATATTAAATAGAATGCCACAAAAATGGTTAAATTCTTTACTCAAATTCCATTGGAAAGAAAGCCTGAAAAACAAAGACGGGAAGAGAATATTGATGAAACAGCTAGTACTTTGCTTGAAATAATTTCAAGTGTGATTCCACTGCTGAAGAGACAACCACAATTCAATAAAAGTTACTTCTCTCTCAGGAGTTAGAATTGTAGCATAAATCCTGGAAAATATCTTGAATATACAGCTTGTTCTTTGCTAAAGTATAGCCTCATCCTGGATAGCAGTTTTTGTATTTGAAATAAGTATACATAAAATTGTAATTAACAATTTTAAATGTCTAAAATGAACATTTGATTTTTAACAGACTGCTGCAGTTCCATCTTTTTTCACAATTATCAATGTTAATAATCATAGTAAATTATATTTCAGTGCAGTTACTCAGTAGTTAGTTTGCCATACAGAAATTTAATAAGGAACACTGAAGCAGACAGAGCACATAAGATTATCATGACAAACAAAATCATAATGGAATTTTTCCTCTGTATTCCTACAATAACAGCTGCATAGACTTTATGAGATGTGAATTACAGTAACATATTGCAGGCATAAAACTGACGAGTATGACTAAATATTACTAATTTTTATACTCAATAAGCAAATTCAGCTTCAACAGAAGGATAGAAATAGCCTCTCGCTTTCCATTTTCAAACAATTAAAATTTTCAGTACTTCAGTGCTACAGTACTTTTTTTTAAATCTCAGCAAATAAAAGCTTTCAAATGTTTCAATTCTTCCTGTTTATCTAGGATTGTTCTTCTCTTCCAGCACATTTCTTGGCAGCGTTAGACTACCTCTCTGTTAGAAATGTGCTGAGTCTATAACTGTTAAATTCCCAATTGGAAAGCAAATGCATTCTTGATTCTTGCATATTCACAGGGACACAAAATCATCTTTCAAGGGTAATGTGTATCTATGTTTTGTGAGAGCTAATGATGTGTAGTTTGGGGTTTGGAGCAGGAAGACAAAGATACTATTCCACTCTCAGCCATGGAAGCTCACTGGCTGATTTGAGACTAAACCACTATCTCAATCCACCTCCCAGAGTTATTGCTGGGAGAAAAATTGCCTGGAGCTCCTGAACGCAAGATAGGATTAGAAAGGTCTAATAAATGATCTAATTGTTTAATCCTCTTAAAGTAAGCAGAAACTTACTTCAGAGTCTTATTAGAAAAATTCTTGGTGGTTAATGTAAGAGTTCGCATTTCTCTAGATTCCTTTAAATCAGTGATTCTCAACCTGTGGGTCAGGACCCCATTTGGGGTCGAACGACCATTTCACGGGGATCGCCAAACAACGCAGTCCGCCATTTTTTCCCCTTTTCCTTAGCTGTGCTACTCCCTTTTATTCTATTGGCTTTTGAAAGCCAATAGAATAGACTCTCTTGAACAGAGTCTAATTCTATTGGTTTTCAAAAGCCAATAGGAATTGTCCAGGCTGTCTCTGCCCTGCTAAGCCCGCCAAAAGTCCCATTCTGCAAACGGTGCTGCACCAGTTGAGTAGTCCTCGACTTACGACCGGTTGAGTAGTCCTCGACTTACGACCGGTTGGGGGTCGCAGCATTAAAAAGGTTGAGAACCACTGCTTTAAACTCATAGGCTAAACAACTACCTCACGATATATGACATGGCTTAAGTTACAGTCTACCTCGTGGAACCCCCAAAATTTTGTAGCATCAGCTTCTATAATTTCAGGCTTTGATGTACCTGAAAATAAAGCAACGTTATACATACTGCGGGCCACACATTTTTATCTAGTAAGCCTCTGTTAGAAAAAGACCCAGAAAAATTGGTGTAAAGGGTGTTCTAGTAGACAGTATGTCATTCCAGTAAAGAAAAAAAAAAGCTATTCAGTACTGGTGAGAGCCAGGGACAGTTCCATTGAGGGCCTGTACTATTCTCTGCCGGTAAATTAAGACAAGCTACCCTTGTGTAAAAAAAAAACAAACAAAAAAAACCCTTAAAAATGTTAGTCCCACTATTTTTTTTTCTTGCAAATCCAGAAGATAAATGCTTGCACAGTTAGCAAAATCTCTGTAATGGAAAATAGAAGAGCACTGCAAGTGACAGCTTCACCCTCCCCCATTTCCCACAATTGTCAGTCTGGTTTTAAACCTGCTATTTTGTTGTTGTTGTTCTTTAAATACTTATCAGAAAGATCTCCACCTGCTTACATCAGAACCATGGAAACCTGAACCACCTTGAAGGCACTTTCTTGTAAATACTTCAACGCAAAATAAATAAGCAATTATTTGTTTTCTTTCTCCTCAGTACAAACTACAAACTTTTCTCCTGGCCCTCTTTCAGCAATCTGCAAAAGAAACCTGAACTCGCCTTCTGCTCTTCACGGGGATAAGAACTTCTCTGTGTGGTTGTAAGGAGCACTTCCCACACCAATGTATCTAAGAAATATAAACAGCTGCAGGAAAACTCAGAACTCTGTATATACTCCAGGAAGTTAGACAAATCCTAGCAAGATCAGAAGCTGGTTCTCATGACAAGCAAGAGGCTATTTTATAGATTCAATTATTTGTTTTACTTAAAATATATAAGTATCCTTACGTATGGCCTTCCACAGCAGTTTATAGGTAGTCATCGACTTATGACCACAATGGAGCCCAAAATTCCTGTTACTAAGCGAGACATTAAATGACTTTTGCTCCTTTTTACAACCTTTCTTGCCACAGTTGTTAAGTGAATCACTGCAGTTGTTAAATTAGTAACCCCAAAGGTGCTTTTTTTCTTTTTTTATACAAAAGAAAAAAAGTTAAACAATACATATATAAAAAAAAAAAAAAAACCCACCCCACACCCCTCCCAAAAACCCTCCCTTCCCCCCCCCTGAGCTTCCCAGAGCAGAATATAGGCTTGAGAAATAAAAAAAAAATAAAAATTAAATTAAAAACTTTATGTTTATATATATAAAAAAGATATCTATAATATATATAAAAATAAAACTTATGAAAAAGCTATATGATATTTTTGTATACCCAATCTAAATTGTATAAATTTTATCCATTTGTCCCAGATAGCAAAAAACTTCTCTTGCGTTTGTTGCTTTAAGAAAGCCGAAATCTTTGCCATTTCCGCCAGATAAGCTACTTTAAAAAACCATTCCTGCAATGTAGGCAAAGATTCCTTCTTCCAATATTGTCCAACTAACAGCCTCGCGGCTGTGATCAAGTTTAACATCAATACAACCTCCTTTGTATCACAATCTGTAACAATACCTAACAAAAATAATTGCGGAGTAAATTTTACCCTCCTTCTAAAAATTCTCTGGATATTCCACCATATTTTGATCCAAAATGCTTTTATCTCTCTGCATGACCACCAAATATGATAATAGGAAGCCTCCTTATAACCACATCTCCAGCATTTAGGTTGCACGTCAGGGTACATGTAAGACATTTTTTGTGGATCAAGGTGCCATCTATAAAACATTTTATAAAAATTCTCCCTTAAATTCTGTGCTTGAGTAAATTTGACATTTCTCACCCAAATAATTTCCCAGGTGTCCAATGAAACTGGCTCACCAAAGTTCTGCGCCCATCTAATCATACAATCTTTAATTAGTTCCGTTTCTGAGTCCAATTCAACTAAAACCCCATAAATTCTCTTAATGTGGGTTTGTCTTTGATCCTTCAGTTGCTTAATAAGATTTTCATCTTCTCTAAGAAAACCCACCTTACAATCCATCTTCCATCTATCTAGTAGTTGCCTATATTGGAACCAAGAATAAGTAAAATTTTCTTGTGCTAATTCTTCCCGTGATTTTAATTGCCAGTTTTGTCCATCCCATTTAAGTAACTGTCTATAAGTCACCATATCCATTTTAACCCCTCTTTTTATTCCTTCTATCGCATGCCAAGGTATAGCCCATAATGGTACTTTAAAATCACTTTTATAATATTTTCTCCAGATCCTAAGTAAAGAAATTCTTAAAATATGAGATTTAAAAGCCCAATCTATTTTTTTATTAAATATTAAATAGGCATGCCACCCATAAAGTAAATCCCATCCCTCTAGATAAAGTATCTCAGAGTTTGTCAAATTTACCCAGTCACTAATTAATGTTAAAACCACCGCATCATAATATAATTTCAAATTTGGTACCTTGAGTCCACCCCTCTCACGGAAGTCTTGCATAATTTTGAACTTAACCCTTGGTTTTTTCCCTGCCCAAATAAATTTATTGAGACCCTTCTGCCACTCATTTAAATTAATCTCATTTTTCAAAATTGGTAACATTTGAAACAAAAAAAGAAACTTGGGTAGAATATTCATTTTTATCACTGCAATTCTTCCCATGAGGGATAATTGCAACTTTTCCCAATTTTTCAAGTCTTTCTGTACCCTGACCCACAACCTTTCATAATTATTTTTAAATAATTTTGCATTAGAAACAGACAGCATCACCCCCAAATATTTTACCTTATTAACAATCTCAAAACCCGTCGAGTTAACCAAAATCTGCTTCTCCTGACTCGACATATTTTTAGGTAAAATTTTAGTCTTATTTACATTAATCTTAAAACCCGAGACCAAACCATAATGGTGAATCAACTGTAATAAGTTTACTACAGAATAATCAGGTTGCGACAAAGTAACAACCAAGTCATCCGCAAAAGCTCTCAACTTATATTCTTTTTTATTAACATATATTCCTTTAATTTCCTGAGAGTCTCGAATTTTGATCAATAATATTTCCAATGTTAAAACAAACAACAATGGCGATAAAGGACACCCCTGTCTAGTACCTTTCTCTATTGTAAAAACCTCCGACAAACCTCCATTAACAATAAGTTGTGCTGTTTGTTTTTGATATATTACCTTAAGAGCTTGTAATATGTTTTCACCAAAATTCATTTCTTCCATTACTCTTAGCATAAAATGCCAATTCAGTTGGTCAAATGCTTTTTCAGCATCTAAAAATATGAGCCCTGCAGGAACTTGGTTGTTCTTATCTAAGTATTCTAATAAATTAATAATTTGTCTAACATTGTTTTTCATATACCTTCCTGTTATAAACCCTGATTGATCTTTATGCACAAGATGATGCACCACCCTCATAAGCCTATTTACCAAAATTTTTACAAATATCTTATAATCCACGTTTAAAAGAGATATAGGCCTATAATTTTTGGTAAAGTAAGATCTTGATCCTCCTTTGGAATCAATGATATAAAAGCACTACGCCATGAAGGAGGAATCTCTAAACCCTGTAAAATACCATTAAAAAGATCATTTAATGGTTGGATCATCTCCTCCATTAAGGCTGAGGAGAATTCAATCCATTAACATTCCAGGTCAAAAACTTTGCCATCTCCCTTGGCACGCAGCCTGGAGAAGACACCATCAAACTCTGACAGAGCTGCGTGTGTTGCATAACTCTTGGGTCTTGCTCCTCCCACCGGCGGTGATGCACTTCCAGGAGAATTCTCTTTGGGCTCTTTTTTACGTTGCTCTTTCTCTTTACGCTTATAGGCTGCACGAGTCATCCTCTGCTCTTTAGCCTCTGTTTGGCGTTGCTTTGCCACTTCTATCATCCCTGCGGAAACCAAATCTAGTGCCTCAGATTGCTGCTCAGGTTCCTTACCACTCAAAGATTTCCGACCAGATGAAGTTGAGCCTGCACTCAGGACCGAAGTATAGAAATCTCTAGCTTTGTCAACTGTGTTCAATCTGTAACGTGTCCCAGCATGGCTCAAAACGATACCCATCGGAATTTCCCATCTGAATGGCATCGATCTAGCTTTAAGCTCATTGGTTAAAAAAGCAAAGTCTTTCCTACTTCTTAAAATTTTAGATGGGATTTCCTTTAGAATGATGACATCTTGGGCGGCAATCTGAAATCTTTTGTTGTAAAAAGCTTGTATAATCTCATTCCGCAGGGACTTCTTTGTAAAGTAAATCACCACATCTCTGGGCAAATTCTTCTGCTTAGCAATCCAGGAGTTGAGTCTATAAATTTTTTCCACTTCTCTCTGTAATTCTCCTTTATCCATATCCAAAGCCAGCGCCAGATCACTAAAAACCACCTCCATCAAATCTTGATTCATATCTTCCTTAAGGCCTCTAATCCTCAGAGCATACTCCATCTGTCTGTACTGAAACATCAAAATATCTTCTTGTGAGGAGTCCACCTTCCTTTCCACGTCTTGAATTTTGTCATCTAAAGAGTCAACTTTGTCTTCCACTTCCTCAAGCCTTGCATCAAGCTTAACCACCACAGTAGCCAAACCTGAAACAGCTGCCAGTATATCTTGTCGTAATTCATTATTATTTTCTTGCAATTTAGACTTTATCCCCGTTATCTCTTCTTTGAGATCAGATTTAATTTCTGATTTAATCTGTGAAACAAATTGAGTCATTTCCTCTCTCATTTGAACTACAATCTCTCCCATTATGCCTCTAACCTCTTGTACTGAAAGTCCAGGTAGAGGAGGGGAGGGTGGTGGCTGAGCCGGTGGTGCATGTTTAGATTGTTGTTGTAACTGTGCAGTGGAAGTTATAGGAGAAGAAATAACCTTGGGTATTGAGGAAGGCTGCTGCCTCTTTGAAGCCATTTTAAAAAGCACAATTGTCACTTCCCTTTCCCCTCCAGCCAAAAAGGGAGGAGGAAAAAAAGAAAAAAAGAATTTTTAAAAAGAGACAAACTATAATCATTAAAAGTCCAAAATAAATCCCAAGAATAAGTAGTAAAAGAGCAAACAATTCAAAAGAAAAAATTCTAAGCCAAAAGCAAAAGCAAAAGCAAAAAACAGTCCTTAAAAAGGGAAAGTAAAACAAAAGAGAAAGGAAAAAAAAACTCCGACACTTTCAAAACGCCATCTTAAGTCCTTTCACTAGTATAACAAAGAAAAGGAGGAAAAATAGTAAAAATCAAAAGATAAAAAAATAAACACCTAAAATATAACAAAAAATCCTTTAAACTGCTCCGTCCGTTTAAAAATTACTCACCAAAATGCTGTAAACACGGAGATAGAAGCGGCGGTTTCTTTTGCTTCCTAGGAAGCAAAAACAGCTGGGAGGCGGAGATCAGCAAGAGCTCCGAGGGAACACTCCTTTCACCCCCTCTAGAAATAAATCCAGAGGGGGTTCAGGGGTTCTACCTCTACTCTTGCGTTCTCTGTCCCTTCCCTTTGCCCGGGAAGGGGTTTCCGAGCCGCGGGCCAGCTGATGCGCGCTGCGCTCCGCGGCTCTGACACTTCCCCAGCTGGACGGCTAAAAGCTAGCCGCCATCGCCGTCGCCTCCCACCGGAAGCTCAAGGTGCTTTTTTTCAAAAGGCAACTGGACTTCCTTTGTTTTTGCTTGAAGACATTTCACTTCTCATCCAAGAAGCTTCTTCAGTTCTGACCTGAAGCTGCTTGGATGAAAAGTGAAACGTCTTTAGCAAAAACAAAGAAAGTCCAGACGTCTTTTGAAAAAAAGCACCTTTGAAACAATAACCTAGACGATGGAGAATCCCCATAGATATATTAGGTTAGTAACACGGCTGTTAAGTGAATCTGGCTTCCTCACTGACTTTGCTTGCCAGAAGTTTTCAAAGTGACCCCGGGACACTGCAACCATCATAATTAGGAACCAGTTGCCAAGTGTCTGAATTTTGATCATATGATCAGGGGAATGCTGCAATGGTTGTAAATGGGGAAAATGGTTACAAGCAGTGGTAGGATTCAGCCAGTTTGCACCACTTAGGCAGAACCGGTAGCTAATTTTTTGTTGCCCAGGCCCAAAATGGACTTCCAGAAGCGGCATCCATACAGAGAACCGGTTGTTCACATATTTGAATCCCACCACTGGTTACAAGTCTGTTTTTTCAGTACTGTTGTAATTTTGAACGATCACTAAACAAATGGTTGTAAGTCAAGGATAACCTGTACCAAAAAAAACAAAATAGCATCAGTTTCTGGGAAAACTGTGATATCCAGCCTGACTTACTTGATGTCACTTCTGGATTTCCTTTCAGATTCATCATTTTTGGTATGGACGGCCCATATACATCTGCATCAAGCAATCCAACTGCTTTTTTCTGTGGAAGGAAAATGCACATCTTTATACATATTCTTCAAACAGGAAAAATTAACCACAGCAACACTTGAATTATATTTTCTCTAACAGTTACTTATTAAAGCAAGACATCTGAAAATTCACCAAAATTCTAGTAACTGAACATAATAAAGTGATTCATGCTCAGTCAGTGTCCATTGCAGAATTCATTTGGAAACACAAAGGATACATAGGAAGTACATTCTCTTCCACAACCATTAATTATGTCCAAAAACATAGAATTACTGTTGGATTTGGGTCAGTTAAAAAAAATGTTTTCAGTGGCAAGATAAAGGCAACTGAGGAGATTCTGTTAAGAAAGAAGATACAAATAACAAATAGAATGATTTGCTATTATTTATCATTTAATATTTGACAGGACATTTGCCATATTTATATTTTGCAGCAGACAAAAAAAGTGGTAGCTGTTTAAAGTCCTATATTTTGTGATATGGATGATCAAGAATGTCATTTAATCTGCTTTTCAAAGTGCTCCATTGTGATCTACGTTTATACCAGATTAATGTGATAATTGAAAGGCAGATTTTCCATGTCTTAATTTTGTTATCTGGGTCTCAGTTCAAAATACACAGGCACAAATGTCAGTGGGAGATCATGGACTTTTTAATCATATTTTGATAATTTAAAATTCTAATGAATTGCACAAAATTACTATTTTGTATTTGATAGGCACATGCAGTATATTATTTGCAGAAATAAATTGCTCAATTCAGTAATTATTAATGGCTTAAATGCAACATCAGTTCATATGATATAGTTGCATGATATAATGTCTTTCTTCTAAACATAAAATATCTCATGTATCAATTTTGTTCTGGAAAATTTATTGATTTTTGTAGATTTTTTTTGTTCTTTTTAATTATATAATAGTTTTGAAACTAAGAATAATGAAAGTGACTAGCAGCAAACTTTCATGGCTGCAGAAAAAAAAAATACCAGAAAAGAATCTCAGTTTAAAGATGAATTAGAAGTTTGAACTATATATATTATTTTGTATATTAAACTCCCTTTGTCTTTTCTATTGTTACTGTACATGTTAATATAATAGTATAATGTAATAGACGACACCAAGCTGGCAGGAATAGCCAACACTCCAGAAGACAGACTTAAGATACAGGAGGATTTGGACAGACTTGAACACTGGGCACTATCTAACAAAATGAAATTCAATGGTGAAAAAAGTAAGGTTCTACATTTAGGCAAGAAAACCCAATGGTACAGGTATAGTATAGGGGTACCTTGTTCAATAGTAGTAACTGTGAGAGGGATCTCGGAGTCCTAGTGGACAATCACTTAAATATGAGCCAGCAGTGTGCTGCAGCTGCCAAAAAAGCCAACACAGTGCTAGGCTACATTAACAGAGGGATAGAATCAAGATCATGTGAAGTATTAATACCACTTTACAATGCCTTGGTAAGGCCACACTTGGAATACTGCATCCAGTTTTGGTCACACGATGTAAAAAAGATGTTGAGACTCTAGAAAGAGTACAGAGAAGAGCAACAAAGATGATTAGGGGACTGGAGGCTAAAATATATAAGGAACGGTTGCTGGAATTGGATATATCTAGATTAATGAAGAGAAGGACAAGGGGGTACATGACAGCAGTGTTCCAATATCTCAGGGGCTGCCACAAAGAAGAGGGAGTCAAGCTATTCTCCAAAGCACCTGAAGGCAGGAAAGAAACAACGGATGGAAACTAATCAAGGAGAGAATCAACCTAGAGCTAAGGAGAAACTTCTTGACAGTTAGAACTAGGGCTTTTTTTGTCATAGAACGCCCAGAACGGAGTTCCGGCACCTTTTTTGGATGGAACCTTGTAAGGTAGGCAAGACAGGTTGTATGACATGTGTGAGTTCCGGCACCTTTTTTTTTTTTTCCAAAAAAGCACTGGTTAGAACAATTAACCAATGGAACAACCTGCCTCCAGAAGCAGTGAATGCTCCAACACTGGAAGTTTTTAAGAAGAGACTGCATAGCCATTTGTCTGAAATGGTATAGAGTTTCCTGCCTGAGCAGGGGGTTGGACTAGATGACCTCCAAGGTCCCTTTCAACATTATTATTATTGTTATTGTCGTTGTTAAATAACTGTGTAAGTCTAGCTCTCTTTAGTAAAAATGAGACCTATTTTTCTGTGTTTTACTTCTTTGAAATAATTAATAAAATAAAATAATAATAATAAAAATTCTTTTTTAAAAATAATAAATAACTTTGAATAAGCATATATAAAATTCATCTGCTAGGACAGTGGTTCAAATAAGCAATTATAACTTGTTCCATTGCCTCAGGATATGTCAATCATTTGGGAAATCAGGAGATTCAGGCAGTTCAAATGAGTATAAAGATTTATTGCAAACTTAAGCTCTCTACAAGAATCTGACCAACTGGTGGTCAAGGGAAATGTGCGGGAGATAAGACAAGCATTCAAGGGGGCTGAAGTTTGATTTTGTATTGGCACGCAGACACTCATAACTTATGATGCCTTTGACCCCTCCCTTAAGACTCAGCCTGGTCATCTCCTACAGGATAGGCTCAAATTACTCTCTTGGTAACTACCTCCAAATTAAAAACCAATGTCTTGTAATACATTCATAAACAAGTATTTATGCAAAATATAACAATATAGGAAAGACATGTAGAACATGATTGTTAGAATTCTTTCCAACTCATTTACTAGCAGCTGTCACAGGAGATGTTCAATGTTGAGTCTGTGCATATATAAGCGTCTTCCCTTAATACCAAATTTAGATTGGATGTATTTGCTTTTGAGATAGTGTAAATATAACATCAAGAAATCAGCATATAGGCAATGCTCAAGATGCAACAGTAATTGGGACTGGAATTCCCATCGCTAAACAATCTGGTCGTAAAGTGTGCCATCATGTGACTACATCACTTAGTGACAGCTATTCCAGCAAACCCCATTTGAAGATGGCAGTTGAAGATGGCAGAGGTCAGCTGGAGGCAACAGGGCAGCAGGCAAGCAGAGCTCAGGGCAGCAAGGCCAACAGACACGGTGGAGTAAAGGGTGGCAAAAAGGGCAGGGATGGAGAGTATAGGCAGGTAAGGGGAATCTTACACGCTGTTGTAAGAGCAGGCAGGCTATCAAATACCTGAATTTTGATCAGGTGATTGTGGGCACCCAACAACGGCCATAACTTTAGGAAATTGGTTTAACTACCATTCCTTCAGCATTGCCATAACTCTCAAACATCACTGAACATATGGTTGTTAAACGAGAACTACTTCTACAAAATAATACAGATGGGAAAGGAGGAGGAGTCTGGGTATAAATGCAAGGAACAAAAGAACAGAAAAGACAGAGAAATAGCAACTAAGCACAATGCTTTCTGCAGTCCTGATAATTTGTAGAGTAAGCAGGCTGACCTGATTTCCAAAAGTAAAAATCTGGATACATGAATATTAAAAATTCATATATACAAATTAATCAACAAGCCGATTTTCCTAAAATCACAGGCAAAAATTACCAGAAAAAAAGGACACAAAGATTATTTAGAACAGCTTTTCTGGAACAAAGCAACTTAAATAGCTCCAAACATTCCTCACAATCAATAAATCTCTCTCTCCATCATAGGGCTATCAGATCTGGTCTGCAAAAATCCATTAGTTGTCAACAAAGAGATACAAGAACACTAACTTGACTTCTTATTCTCTATTTCTGCAAATTAGTACCGGTAGCCCTAATCAATCAGCCAGGAAATGGATAATGGAATACTTTCATTCCCATGTTACCTTCTACAATAAGGTACTCCAGACTTGATGAGTAATAGAAAGGCATCATTTCCATGATTACTTGTTCCCATACTATTATGCCCACTCTATCTTGGGCACTCCCATTAGGAAGAATCCTTTTCCTTCCCCAAAATCAGGACTATCCCTGTAAAACTGGAATTTAAAAAGTTTCAAGTACTGTCAGTGCTTAGCAATACTAAATGACATTCCCAATGAAATTTATTATGTGAGTAAAACAAGGAAGAACAAAAAAACAACAACAACAAATGTTGTGACAAAGAAATGAAATCCTGGGTGCCTAATGCAGCATCATGAAAAGTATTCTGCATTTTAAAATTCTAAAGGTAGTCCCATCTGACCATTGAGAATTGTTATATTAATAAGCATTCTTTTTTTTTCTTCTTCAAGATTGTTTCTCCTTTTGGACAGCTTTCTCAAATTATCACTTGAATGTTTGTATCTGAACAAAAATAAAGCTATTGCATTATGGTGGGTTTATGCAGTGAAACCAGTGGGTTTTTACTAGTACAATTTTATAACTGTGTACTCTTAATAATTCTAAATAAGCAGAAGTTACACTAAATGCTGTTGATACCAGAGGCAGGTAAGTGAGGGCAGCAAGGTAGGCAAATGATTAATATGCTTGCATGAGACATTCTGAGGTAAAAACATAAACATGGAATTCGCAGGATGACATTGCATGCTTATTAATTTTTTTATTGTTATCGTAGACACTGCTACTAATTGTATTTATCCATTTTAAGTGTAATATTCTAAGGGCTATCCACCTGCCATCAGAATTGACACCAATAGACAATATTTGAAAGTTATTTGATACTGTTTTCTGGTTACCCCACATGTCAGAAGGACTTACTCTATCACACACAATTGTGAAATAGAAACAAAAACTCCCTATACAGCTAGTCCTTGACTTATGACCATAATGGAGACAGGTAACCCAGGTAACCAGGTAACCCATGTCATTAAGCAAACACCATGGTTGTAAAGCAAATGCCACAGTCATTAAGCAAACCCATGTTTGCTTGTAAACACTGGTTTTCAGCAAAAAACACTGTAAATTTAAGTCATGTAACCATGGAACTCTGCAAACAGCCATATAAATTTGGGCTATCACAATTTTGAATGGTCATTAAGGACCCATTGTAAGTCAAGGACTATTTGTATTGTGTAGAAATTAATAGCTATAA